ATGCAGAAATAGAAGTATAATGATGTACACCTGAAATTTTTACAATGTTATAAACCAATGTTACTGCAATAAACAAAAAAATAAATAAATAAAAAATTCTTTATTTTCTCCCAAAAAAATAAAAAAATAAAAAAAATAAAGGAGCGTATCATTGCCAGCAGACACAGTTAACACAAATACTGATGCAGGACCAGCTAAGCTAGAGTGGCTCAGACGGACGGCAAAGTATGAAACAGCATGAAGAGAGTTTAGGATCCAAAGCAAATGCCATGGTCAGCACTTGTGAAGTTTTCGGCCTTTTTCTCAATCCCTCACAGAGCGCTTGAGCTTCTAAACAACTTTAGATAATAGTTAAGTGCAGGTCTAGGGACACGGTTCCAGTATAAATCCTTAAAAACTGATCTTCAACTTTCAGATACAGTGAAAAGAGTCTGGTTCTTGTTTCCTATAAGCTTGAAGAAACCACAGGACATAAATTCTGATAATACTTTTGTGGTCAAAAGTGTACGTGGCAAGTGTTCTCTGCCAACAAGACAACTTCCTGAGAAGCGACACAGAAAAAAATCTCATGGAATCCAGGCAATAACACTACATTTTTTACTATAGCTGACATACAAGCTTTCTAAGGTTTATTTCAACTTATGAACCAAAAAGGGATTACCCAAACTTAATCTTCCTTTACTAGGATGTATGTAAATTATATTATTTTTTTAAATGCTGCAAGTTTTTAGACTCATCTGGTTTATATTCTTCCTCCTTACCTGGCCTGTTAGTGGCTGCCATGATAAAAACCTGCTGACGTGTTTCTAGACCATCCATCTCTGTAAGTAGCTGATTCACCACCCGGACACTTGCCCCTGTCTAAAAAGAAAGACAGACGGTGCCATTAGCTCCCAATAAAAAGGAACATACATCACCAATTTTCTTTCCATACAAAATAATACATTTGGTAACATGAATGAAAGCTTTTGTCAAAAGGGATAACAATTATCATTTTCTGAGGAGTCACTACATCCCGGCCTAGCGTGCTTCCCCACAATCCTGTTATTATCCGAAGTTCAGATGAGGAAACTGGGGCTGAGAGAGGTTATTTGTCCAAGGCCTCACAGCAAGACAGGGTAGAGATGACACTCAATCTCAGGCCCAGATGATTCCTAACTCTTATGCCTCCAAGTTATTCAAAGATCTAACAGCCACAATAAATTTCCCTTTGGGCACATCTAGACTCGGCTTTTAAATGTCAGCTCAGAGTCCCTGGGAGATCAGATGTTCCAGATCTTTCAGCTGGGATGCTTTTTCTCTTTTCCCTGAAGAATATAGTACAAAGTATAGCTACCTGAGGGCAATACCCAAGAGAAAGGTTCAGGCAGTAGGTGAATAGAAGGATAAATCACTTAGATATCGAAATTTTTAAAATGCATAATGGGGTAAATGAGAAAAGTGGTGCTGTGTTTCTTTTTGTTATTAATTGCCATTCTTCAACATAAATTTTATGTGGTAATGCTTTTAACCTGCTGATTTCTCCAGAAAAAAAATCTAGTATACCTTATTATCATTCCTTGGAGACATAACACTAGTAGACTAACAGAATTATAACCCAGACTCAAAAAAATAAAGAAGTATTGGGTAAAAAACAAACAAACATTGTCTTACCTAAGTAAGACAAAAACCTCAGAATCAATATACGAAAAGATTAACAGATTTTACTATATTAAAGTTATAACATTGTATATAATTAAAAAAATTAAAGATAAGTGATAAGACTGGGAAAAATAGTACCAACACACGTAACTGGAGAATGGACTAGTTTCCATCACATATAAAAAGCTCCTATACATCAATAAAAAAAAAAAGAAAAACATTTCAATAGCAAAAGGGTCAAAGTACATGATCAGGCAATTTACAGATGATATACAAATTCATCGAAGACGATTAACTTCACTGATAATCAGGGACATGAATATTAACATTTAGTATGTTTTGCCAATAAAATTGACAAAAATAAAAAGATGTCCATTGTTGACAAAGGTGTAGGAAATGGTTATTTTTACATGCTGTTGGTGGGTGTATGTAACTTGTAGTTTTATGAAGCATGATTTAGTATTATCTTCCAAAGTATAATAGGCATACATCTTCTACCCTCAAATTCTACTTCTAAAACTCTCACATGTGCACAAAAATATGTGGTAAGAATGTTTACTACAGTTCTATTTGTAAGAGAAACAACCGGAAACACTGTAAATGTGCAAAACCCAGGAATTATTAAATAAATTCTTCTGTGTCCAGACTGTGGAATACTTATGCAACAGTTAAAAAAATAAAGTTATTGGGGCGGGCCCTGTGGAGTAGTGGTTGGGTTCCGTGCATGCTGCTTCGGCGGCCCAGGTTTGTGGGTTTGGATCCTGGGCGTGGACCTACCACTCACTGGCGGGCATGCTGTGGTGGCGACCCACACTCAAAATAGAGGAAGACTGGCACAGATGTGAGCTCAGGGCTAACCTTCCTCAAGCAAAAAAAAAGAAGTATTAAGTACATGGAAAAATCATCAAGATAGAATGACCACATTTATATATTTAAAAAGTCTACATCACACATGTTTTAAGTTTATGGAAAATGTTCTAGAATGACAAATACTAAACACTAAACTGTTAGTAGCAGCAACCTCCAAGAAGAGTAACAGGGAGAGTGGGAAGAAAGACTTTCACTCTCTTTAAACTTGTATTTATTTGAATTTTTCACAAGTACATATTCATGTGTAACTTGTATAATAAAAAAAAAGAATACATTCAAATTTAAAATATTTTCAGAATCCCCTTCAGTAAACACATACATCGGAATACAGAAATGTGTGGTAGTAGATATCCAAGAGAGAAAGAATCTAGAAGCTGGAAATGTAGTTCATACGGCTGTAAACTTCTCTGAGGGCAAGTAGTCGACTGGATATATCTCAAGGAAGCCCCCCACATTTAAATTACCCGTTGATAACAGAGAGCTGCAAACCAATGAAAGGGGCTGTGGACAAATGAAGGGTTTATTCACAGCAAAAGAGAAGGGAATAAAAACGAGCAATCCAGAGCATCCCACGGCCCAGCCAGCTGAATATAAAGTGGAGTGTTTCGCTCTGGATCCCACATTAGAATTTGGAATATGACAGCCAGCAGGGGGACCTGGGAAGGATCTTTGCCCTGGCCACGACATCACTATCAGAGACAAGACTGTAAGAATGACTTTCTTGGTGACTACTGGATGAGGAAACAACAGTGCTATGGTGTGAAGCACACTTATATTAGTCAGGTTTTGTTTTTGCAACTTTTGAATGTTTCTGGAGATTTTAAGCGAAATGAAGCATTTAATAAATGTTTCACAACCTAACAGCACACACACAGAATAACTATTTGAAAAAAACTCACAAAAGACTCACTTCCTTAGTCATCTTGTGATAAATGTACTTATTAAATAGTCTTTGCTATCTACTTCAAAAAAGTTAGGTATTCTTTATAGTATTATGCGATAACTATGCTTCAAACTCTTACATAACGGTACTCCTGATAACAACTTTCCAGGCACTCATTGTGCTGAAATTTCTAAGAACTGTGACTCAGTGTAGCAATGCAAGTGGTATTTAGTGCAGACCAATTTTATATCTTCCCTAGGTAGTAATGGTGCCAAGTCTTAAAGCATAATACCTGACCCTATTTTGAGTGCATGAGGTCTTAAATTACCTTTTTTCTTGTCTCAAGAACCCATGTAACCGAAAAGAATCATAAGATAACAAGGTGGGCTATTCAAAACTAATATCATTTCCATTCCCAAGTATTCGTTTGCGTGAATCAGATACGTGCAACCAAAATAACACATAAAATAAAAAATGGATACAGAGGCTAATAAAAATACAACTGTTATCCCTAGGTGCTTACTTCAAATTACTAGGTTTCTTCACTTAAAGAGTCTCAATGCTCTCAAGGAATGACTTTATAAGAATAACTTGAACTTTATACAATTTTATAAGAACTTACAAAAGGTTTATGTTGCTTAAAAAAATCTATATATTACTAATCTATGATACCTACCTCTCGATCTGATCTTCGAGGGCATAAGGCATCCACTTCATCAAAGAATATCACACAGGGGGCTGAGTTCTTGGCTCGCTGAAAAACCTGCCGCACAGCACGCTCACTCTCACCAACGTACTAAACATACACAGAAAGGAAATAAAGTGTAGACACAGTTCAGCTTCGGGGTTTGGGCCAAATTATAGTAAAAATAGCTTTAAATGACATTTATATGTCAGAATCCAAAAAGTATTAGGTTGAACCATATGCAATCGCTGATATGTAACCATTTTTGACCTGTAAAAACAGCCAACTGTATGTGGTTCAACTTAAAAAAATTAGCTATTATTTAAGCTTATCAATTTCCTCATTTATGAAATGAAGACTTAAATGGAATGTAAGGTCTTCTCTACATAAAAAAAAAAATCCCATAATTCTATTGCATTTTAGAACTGATTTCCTAAGCTTTATGCCTATAAAATACTCAGCAGTAATTTTCATTAATTTAACAGTATTTTAAATGCAAACAATTTACTGTTCTACTGTCATTTCTACACAGGTCATCTTGCTAAAAAGGAAGAGCTATTTTGTCATATAGCATCAGAAGGGGCAAACTGAGCCAGCTCGGCATCTAACAGGTTTCCTAACAGCACACTGTATGTCAAAATCCAAACCAAAATATAAAACATTAAGATCAGTTCAGAAATACAGCAACTCACAAGCAGCTATAACATTAGGACTAATTAATATAAAAAGTTGTATGTAAGAATATGGTTTCACTTTTCACCTCGGCCTAAGAAACTGTTCTCGTAAAATTTCAAACTAGTTAACTAAGAAAAGCAGTTTTTTTGTAATAAAACTACTAAATAAGACAGAATCCGAAAACATCTTTCCAGTGCTGATTATATCATAAGATACTTTTTATGTTACTTTATGACTAAATGGCCATAATAAAGTAATTAAGGCATAGAATACATCACAGATGACAGCAATGACAGTATTTTTATTTTCTCATTTGAATAGAACGTTCTTTCCCTCACACCTGTCCTGTACTTTTGCTCATCCTGCTTTCCTCACTTGAACTGCTTTTCAAACCTACCTCCAGACAGTTCTCTTGCATCCTAAATGATCCCCATTCATCTTTCTTCCCATTACTCTCTCTTCTTTGCTTTTATAGCACTTTCTACTATTATAACCTTTTTTTTTAAGTTTATTATTTATTTTTTCCCCCCAAAGCCCCAGTAGATAGTTGTATGTCATAGTTGCACATCCTTCTAGTTGCTGTATGTGGGATGAGGCCTCAGCACGGCCGGAGAGGCGGTGCATTGGTGCACGCCAGGGATCCGAACCCGGGCTGCCAGCAGCGGAGCACGCGCACTTAACCGCTAAGCCACGGGGCCGGCCCAACTATTGTAACTTTTGAGCTATTCTACCTTAACTATATTATATCATAAAGTCCTTGGAAAGCAGAAGTCATGACCATTTCAAGTTTTTCTTTGATCATAACATCCTGCCTGTGTACAAATATAGTAGACTGATGTAGTTTCCTGAAAAATCCAACTCAGCAAAAATTGTATTTGGGGTGCTGAACCAAAATCTTCAGTGGATATTTTAATAGAAAAGATATCGGTGGGTTGGGAGAGAGAAAGTTTCAAACAGGGAGGGAAGAAAACAACCAATCTAGCTGGCAAAGGGACTTGGGATATCGCAAACCAAAATGACTACGTAAAAGGAAATTTGATTTAGGAGAAGGTAAATCTAAAGTTTCAAAAGGACAGATTAAAATCCCTTAATCTTAACAAAGGCTACAATGATTCAAAATAAGCAAACAAAAGAAAATCCCACTATCTTGCCCTTTACGAAATAGTTCAAATAAGGATCCTATACTTATTATTTCTTTTTTTTTTTTTTTTAAATTTTATTTATTTATTTTTTCCCCCAAAGCCCCAGTAGATAGTTGTATGTCATAGCTGCACATCCTTCTAGTTGCTG